CTTCTATCATAATTTCCGTACTTTTATGTTTCTTGTTTTAAAACAATCCAAGAGTTAAAGACTTGACATGTTTCCATGCAAAAGATTTATCAACTTTGCAAAAAGTAATATCATAGACACTGGTTTCTCAGGAATAGAAAGTGATAGTGGGAGCTATCTTTGTAGTGGGTAATAAAGGACTTGGCTGGAGGGCCCGGCCCTCCACTGCCTAACAAGAGATGAGTGTTAGTTTCCGCTGCCACTTCCCTCTCCCCACCATCACCCTCCTTGCAACACCCTCTTCTTTTCCTCCCCTCCCTGTGCCTTGCCCTTCCTGTCCCTCCTCCCACCAGCATTCACACACAGCATGATACAGGAATTGTTTTCCTTGTTAAATGAAACCACTGTACAGATTCCTATCTATTATTTTCAGAACATCTGGTTTTCAAATGAAAAGGTCTCGGGCACAGCAGCACTAGTGAACAAGTCTGAAGATGCTTTTAACAAAACTTGAAATTGCTTAACGCCCCCCCCCCCCCACCCCCCAAAAAAAAGAAAGCAACCCCACCCCCCACCTGCTTCTGCTGTTCTGTGACACACAATCTCTTCACTCAAAGGGGAGATGACATTAAGAAGTAAGAGAGCTTTATTATAGCTCTCCTGTTTGGGCCCTTTGAGCTTGAGTTCTGTTCCTATCCACTTCTCCCATCCCTGAGAAATGGGAGTTTAATTAAAGCATAACATAGATGGAAAGAAAATTAACCTGGAAACCTGTAGAAAATAAATTTCAAAGTTTAATTTTCCAGCACATATTTTTGCTTTCCATAGATTTCAAATAAGTCAAAACAAATAAATAAATAAAAGGGGGAAAAACTATATTTAATGTACATTGGCCAGCATAGCACAACTGTGAAAATAAAATTGCCAGGGGAATTCCTTGCCGGCCCTAGCGTCTAGATTTAAAGCAGCTCCATAACACAAACTGAAGGGGAATTCAATTAAGAAAACCCATCGGCTCCTTATTGACTTTAGTTAAGAAAATAAACTGGGGGAAAGTGTATTAAAATATGTCTGGACTGCTTAGTATGCTTTCATTTAAGCTTATGACAATCAAAATGGGAGAATTTAAATTCTTTGCAATTAAGCTCTGCTTTCGAGCAGATTGGGTTCTCTGGGTTATTACACTGTGCATGTTTTAATGTACACCCTACTCACACACACCTCAGAATGCAGCCTTGCAGTGAAATCTGCACATTGTAAGGCAGGAGGACCACAGAGCAATTGGAGAAGAAAAAGTATTTAAGGTTGTGAATTTAATTTTGTTCTAGGATTTTCATTTTCATTTATGGCACCCATTGTGTTTGAGACCATGGACTAATTTATGGATTAGTTTTAAACCCCCAGTCTGTCACACTCAATGAACAATTCTAAGTTGGAGAGAATCCATATGAAAGGATTAGAATGTGCCACAGTGGAGCTTACACATGACTGTTTCAACTAAATAGTGCCCAGCTGCCTCTCAGGCAGCCATTTGTTCTTTTTTTTTCTTTCTTTTTTGATACTTAATTAAATGGCTAGTGTCTCTAACCTCACACATTGTCAGGGCCTTTTCATTTTGTAAATACCATATACTGCAACATGAAATATAGATGATGTTTAATTTATTCAAGACAGGATCCCATAAACTGTTTGTATGGCTGGGAGACTAAGAAGAAAAGTCAATATTTAGTGAAATGTGCATCTTTCAAATAGCAGCGTGGGGCCCGCTCTTGTACACCTTGTTTGATTATACTCATAAACCAGCTAGAGAGTGATTATTAAGAATGTACTCACTTTACTGGGTTTTCAAGAACATGAGATCATTTTGTGTTGACCATATAAAATAAATGCACAATAAATTTGCCCTCATTGTAATTAAAATTAAAATAGAGATAATAGCTCAGTGAAGCCTTTTTAATCTCGAACCCCACACCACCGTAAGTCCAGCTCAACTTTCTGTGACCTATTTTTCTAATAGGCCTAGCTCAATGGTGATTCGTTAAAGGCAGCAACAAAATGAAATTTAGAAAAGCCTTCGTTAGGGCAATTAGGCACTCTCATTTTTCAAGCTAATTAAGCATGTATAACTTGTATGAGAAATTTACTATTTGCATTTTGCCTGTGGTACACTTAGGATGTTACCAAACAATATAGTGACCCTACCAGCTGATTCACAAGGGTGGGCTTGCACATCTATCCCTCCATTCTTCTGATTAAGATACCCTTCTACATCCTGCTTCGCAGAGCTGCACTCACTCCAGAGCCAGGGTGTCTGTGTTTTCTGCATGAAGTCATAATGCAATTATGAAGGAGAATTAGATTCTGTCACAGTGTTCTGCGGGGAGCACAAAGTCACTTCAGATCAATTTTTTGTAGTTCTTTACTTGAAATAGCCTCTGTTCAGATAGCACACCGGATGCTCTTAGAGAAATGGAATCAGCCACTCCCCCAATGCACCCTCAGTCTTGTTCTAAACTTTGTAACCTTGTTCTAAACCTGTGTTCCTGCTGCAGCCTCCTGCTCCATCGCTGGTCATGGTTTTGCTGTTAGCAGCTGCAGTAACTGTTGTTTGACTCGAACCTGTGTTTGCCTTGAACTGTTTTAGAATGTGTTTTTTCCTTTGCAATATCCCTTTTTTCTCCCCCGTTGGGTGCAATTGATGGATTTCCCATCCCCAGTCGGGGAAGCAAGCTGCACTGTGAACGTCCCTTCATTTATGTGCTACTGGTAGCACCCACATAGGAGCAGATGTCGAGTAGCTTCACTTAGTTTAAGTTCGTGATAAAGCCGACATAATGTTGTGAGGTAGGAAGACAGTAAATTGGGTAGTTACTGGTTAATGCTAAGATAAGACTTTTGAGGATTCTAACCCTTAGGTTTTCTTCACCCCCTTTCTTTCATTTTATGCTGATGATTTACCTGGTAAAAATACAGCACATTAGAAATGCTACTACAAAAAAAAATGAGCCAAATTGTTTATTACTTCTTTATTTTGGAAAGGAGTCAGTGCCTTTAAATGCCATAAAATGTATTAATATGCATATAAGTGTTTCTGTTCAAATGCACATTTGATTTTGCCCTTCAAATTGAAAGCACCTCAAACTAACACTTGACTTGGATGTTTCAAATAAGGAGATGTGTCAACTATGTCATGAGAATCTGGTGTAGAGATGTTTCAACTGTACAATTTTTGGTATTGTTTTTTCACTGCTATTTTATGCATACAGACTTGACTTGTAAGTATCATGTTCGTATGTGGTATATTTTATGCTTTTCTTTCCTTCATCTATTCTTCAGAAACCCAGCTAAAAGTTATATTAAGCTACAGTGGCCTCTCCAACTTCTGGTCAATTCTGGCTCCTTTCAGAAGGGCTCTAAATTTTTTATGGTATAGGATCCTAAGGAAAGCATGCCAACTGAAGGGAAACACCAGTGTGAATTCACATGCCATATTTATAAATCAGAAGCACCAGGCTCATTTGATTAAAAAAAAAGAGTTGTTTGGCATTCCAGCACATTTAAACATTGCCTATACTGAGTCCTACAAAGCCTTTTGAAGTCTCCAGAACTCATGAAAGAAAATACCGCCTAAATAGCTGCATTATAAAAAAGGACAGGTAACTACCTGCAGTTTTAATCCAGAAACCGACTTTAGCTAGGGATGACTAGCTCATGTGTCAGTGTCACCACTTCTTTCTGGCCAGAAGGGGAATGTGGAAGGAGACATACTTGGAAGGTGTAAAGCTAAAAATTAAAGCCTAGCCAGATGGGTTGACATTGGAATGCAGTTGGCTAGAAGAGTGGTGTTAAAATGACTCTGGAAAAAGAACGTCATCGTTCGTTTTGTTAGATATTTATCCCACTTCCCCTCCAGCCAAAAGTAAAGAGAAAATTTCTTGAGCCCCTTGAGGAATTTCCTGTGAAGAAGTACCAGTGTGGCAGGCCTGGTTCTGAAGCCTGGTACAAGGAGGAGCCGACTAGAACAGCGTTGGACCTAGAAGAAAGAGGCAAGCCATGCTTTCTTCCTCAGCACGTGCATCAGGCAATGAAAGAAATCACGTGCTATCGCCTAATGCAGCTCTCGGCAGTGAAAGTGGTTCTGAATGTGAGCACAGGGAAGGCTGGAGACTTTAATTTTTGGAGAGTTACGCGCTTAGAAGTGGCATTTGGCAAATCGTGTGGACTTGGATATTTCCATGACAGGCTTCTGCTCTTAGATTGTAACATAGTCGGATCTAGAGAGTTTAGAGGGTGTGTGTGTGTGTTTCTGTATATGTGTGAGTATGTCTGTGAATGTGTGTGTGAGAGAATGAGAATGTGTGTGTACAAAAACTCATCTGAAAACCTTGAACATGCTCATTCCCATGTCCTCCCAGTTAACTGAACTTTCCAGCTGAACTCCGCTGAAATAACACACTGGATGGAAAACTTGAACCCGTGTATTCATCTGTAGGCACCTGAGCATAAGCCATAAAAGGATCCAAAAAGCACAATTGATTCAGTGAAGCCTAATTGGCAGTCATGACGCCCAAGTGCCCAAGTGGGCTGGGTTAAAACAAAGGCAATGTTTGAATGTATGAATCCATTGTTTAGCCAGCCTTTGGGCTGAGCTTTTCTGTCACAGTCCTGAGCCTTGATGCGTTGAGAGCCTTCTACCAGTCAGAGTTTGCACTGGCGTTTCTCATCACTTTGCATGTTCCCCTGACTATTGACTAGCAAGTAGATGTGTCCTGGCAAGACCCCCAGAACCAAAGAATTTACTGTTTTCCTCACCGGCTCGCAGCTTTGAGCTGAAGGCATGTCTTAAAACAGTGCAACTCACTTCAAATGCTTTTTGCTTTTCATTTATTATTGCTTGTCACGCGATGTTCTTTGAAAGCTTGCTCATATATTATCTGTTCCATTTTTTTCCATTTTCCCTTTTTTTGCATGCCGTTCCTCCTGTTTCTTCCCTTCCTCCAATCCTCTGTTCCCGTCTGTAGACACAACGGCGACGACAGAACCAGCAGTTCACGGTTGGTATCACATTACTGTTTATCTACTTTCTCAGCACTGCTGAGAGGCAAGGCAAGCCTGAGAAAAAGAGAAATGTAGTCTTCAAGGGCAATCATGTTTCAAGTAGACTGATCTCATAAATATACTCTAATTTTGAAAGGCTTGAAAGACGTGGAGTCTTGTCATTTCTGTTGTGAGTTCAGTAGGCAATGGTTGCAGTCTGAGATGAGGCCGCTGCCTCGCTGGCTGGTGGGAGTGGTAGGACTGTCAGATGCCCCAAGTCCCTATGTATATAACCCCGCCAGACACGGAAATACAAGGGACTTCAAAAAGCTACTATTTGCTTAAAAATCGTAGCATCTGAACTAAAGACCCAGTTACTTTCTTCATTGATAGGCTAGAGTCCCAGGTACATGTTAGAGGGGAGTCATTTGTGTCAGTAGTCGAGACTAAAGGACAAGTCAGGCAGAAGATTCCTGTTTAAATTCATGAGGTGGCGGCGAGGAAGGTCATCGCTCTTCTTTAAACTGTGTCCCCAGTTGTGCTAACCTCCACAGCCCCTTTCTGGTTCACCCTTAATCTCTACATGTACATACAAGTTTATGTTAACATTTGGCAGAAAACATCCCCAAACCAAGGAGGATACCACATGTGTATCTTAACAGCGTTAACTGGGACTTTAAAAAAAAAATCACTCGTGGATAGGTATCTTGTAGGAAAATACTAACAAGTGAATTAAGGTTTTAACCAAAGGGTGATAAAAACAGGAGGGAGCATCAGGAAATCCTTTCCCCAATTCCACCACTGACTTGGTTGGAATAAGACTATTAACTTTTTATGTCTGTCCAACCAGAGAATTAGGATCATGTTTCATCTATTTATTACTTTATTACTTAGCTCAAATCTAACCATGCCGATATTGTACTTGGACACAGATATGTTAGTTAAAAAATGGGCTGAATTTTAATAATTGAATCCAAGGGAGTTATTTGGTAAAGGGCCTACTTAAATCACTTTGCATGTTGTGCAGGGTTGAGATCCATCATTTAAATGATAAAAGGTGATCAGCCAACCCTGTACTGTTCATTCAACTATTAGAGAAACATCTCTTCCTAGCGCAGACTGGTTTCCTTAAATAGACCTACATTTGAGGACTTATCTGTTGGAAATCTCTAAGCAAAACCTGTCCAGTGTGAGCTAGCCTTGAAGGTCGGGCCTTGATGCTTGGCAGATCACCCTCATATTTGGACATGCTGATGAGGAATTCTGAGAAAGCAAAACAAATGTAGGTACGAAGCAGTATAGCCCTCCCCACCCCACACCTACCTCACCCTGCCCTTTCCTCCATTTGTCCAAAAGAGAAAGTTCATAAAATAAGTTAAAGGGCCCACCAAATACACTGACGATCATGAAAAATCAATTAGGTATAAAACTTCCACTTTCTAAGGTAATGCCCCATAGTGCTGGCTACATCTCAGGCATTGCACTCCATTAAGCTCAGTTATTTGTAAGTTTCATCATTAATTGAGCACTTCCTGACTTTTATCGATTATTCTCAGAGCTTTAAGGCTGTTTTAATGTAGTTCAAGAGATTTTGTTCTGTTCTTTTTAAGATGCTTTAAGTTCTAAGCTTCCTATAATTAACTCCAGGGTCAAATGTAACCATAAGATTCCCGAATTCTGTGAGATCTTTGAAGAAATATTGATCATTTATCTCCTAAGACTCCAGAGTTCTGTTTTCTAGGTCCCTTCAATAAAATCCATGCACTTATGTGACTCTAATGGATTTAGGCTTTGGAGTTGGGCGGGGTGTGCAGAGTAGGAAATAGGTCCCCTGACTTGAAAACTGAGAAGTTTACTTAGGGACCAATCCTGATTTTAGGGCGCTGTTTGTGATCAGGTCTTTCCATCTGGAGAGAAAGTGAAGGTGATCTCTTTGTGTGGAATAATACAGAGACACTTGGAATAGGACTTTATAGCATCACTATAGCAGCAAATAGATGTCTGTGCAGTGTGAGCAGCAACCTGTCTTCTTAGTTGCAGGACAGTGTTGAAGCCAGTGATACCTCAGTAGGATGTTATTGGCTGGCACTGCCTGAGAAATATAACTAGAGCCAAGAAGTTTGGGGAGGAAAAGAGAAAGAAAAAATAAATAAATAAATAAAATGATTCTTTAACAGCAGAGGGAGAGAAGTGATAACCCAGGTTGATCCCTGTATAATGCAGTTATAAATACATTCTCCAACTTGGCTAAAATCTTCAGCGTCCCAACAAAGGGGTCTTACCACTATTTTGAGCAGCACATTCTCCAGCCCACAGCAAAAAGCCTTAATGAAGGCCAAAGTAATATCAAGAATTTTACTGGACAGAAGGGGAAAAGTCTCCCAGGTCAGTTGTCAGGATAGAAACAGCTATAGGAATATGGTAGAAATTACAAAACAGGGACCAGATATCCAAATAGACGAAGATATAGAACTGATTTAATTTGAGTGAATTTTGACTAAAACCCATCTTGTTTGGTGCAGCAGCCATTTGACGTAGAGAATAATCTTGAGATGTTCATTATGGAGACCTGAGCCTAGAAAAATGTGGTTGATAACTTGGCAACTTAAATGACAAGACATATTAGGTCAGCCAGTTGTGACCATTTTATTGGTCTTAAAAGTTTTCATTCATACTGGATTTCCTTCCATATTTCTCTTTCCTTTCATAAAAAGGAAAAAAATAATTTTACAAAATGTGTTCCCGTTGAAGACTCATTAGAATATTTTATTCAAGCTTGTGTTGCTAGAGTATGTATGAAGTATACCAGTTGTTTATGTATGTTGACCATTTGTTCTTACCAATATCTGACTGGAATAATAAGCATGTATTGGAAGGTTAGAAGTGCATGGGCATGATTCAAAATCAAATGGATTTTCTCCAAAAAGAAACCAAACAATAATCAGCCACAATGTATTTTTAAGGATCTAATTGATAGTAAAGATGAATGTGAGTGTAAGAATGGAATTTTTACACTAGGGTGATCTAAGGGATCTTTGAATAAGGATCTTGAGCATTTGTGTTTTTGGAGCTCATCCTTAAGGCCTGGACAGGAAGAATCCTGTTATCTGTGCATGTTGAGCAATGCAAAAAACACTCTGCCAAATCCTGGTACCACCTGGTCTGAACTTAATGGCAGAAATGCATGAGTGACTTAAAAGCACGGATGGTGTAGTTGTTATTATGGTTATCGATATGTGGGTGTGTGTGATGGTTTTTACTTGTTTGTCAGATGTGGGCGCTTCTCTGTTAAGTGTCTTGTGCCTTGTTCTTTTTCTGCCCTGTTTGTCCCCTTTCCCATCCCCCACCCACCTCCCCCACGTGAGGTTTTGGGTGACAGCATGTCCACGGTCTGGAATAGTGCTTGTGCTTTTGCTGCACTGCAGTCAGCTGGCTTCCTCTGGGTTGAGGTCTCTCCTCTCTCTCTCTCTCTCTCTCTCTCTCTCTCTCTCTCTCTCTCTCTTCCCCCGTTCCCCCCTCCCACATTTTCTTATTTTCAAATCTACCTGTCCTTTTGCTTTCCACCTCTTGATACATTAGACGCTGATGATCTCATGAATTTAGGTATCCCAAATGAGTTTTTAAATAGTTTTCAATTCAGTACGTAATTGCAGTAAGACTCAAACTGGGAATCCCTCTGAAATAATTTGTCACTTTCACTTTTGGTTTCAAAATGTTTGACCTGTGCTAGATACATACATGCTCATGCCCTGGTCCACTGCCCTTAGGTAACTTCCCCATGACTCTCCCTTTCCGTTACTTTATAAGTAGTGCAAGCCATGATAGCATTCTAAAAGAACGTGAAATTATCTTACTTTCCATTCAATTGTGGGGAAATTCTGAAACCCATTTTAAAGACAAATAGCCAGCAGTGCGCATTATTACAACCTCTATGTCCAGCCCCTGTGTGTGTACCTCTCTGCACATCTCTCTGTATGAGCACACAACAGTGGCATTCAAAGGCTGTCATTCAGTCAAGGGCTTCTGCAGACATTGTACGTTCTAATCAAGAACAAAGCTTAAAGAGGTTTATGAATGGCTGCAGGACCTGAAGATTGCGTTTCAGCCTTGATATGCAGTTTGGAAACAATGTGCTACTGTTTAACGGCGTGAACCAAATTTCTGCTAATGGGAAGAAGGGAAAAACTCTTCACAAAAGCTGACAAAGCAGGAAGAACAGGATGACTGAGTTTTTAGATTAAAACTACCGGGGGCGTCTGAAAATCTCTTATGGCTGATGATGGAAGTAACAGTTTCCATAATATGGCCAAGTGATCAGATGTATGCCGTTTAGGTAAGAGAGAGACCATCGCCTACTTTTTCATAATGGGAATGGTACTAGGACGGGTGGGCTAAAGCTTGTTTCCTGGAGGTTTTATTTGATCATGTCGCTTTTGAAATTTTCTTTAAAAAAAGAAACCCTGATGAACTGAACACACAAACATTAAGATTTTACTTGACCTTGAATTTCTTTCAGTATCTCTAGGATTTCTTACTGTTTTTAATTTTTGAGGTCTCCCTGAACCGCGTTAAAAACCCTACTACTTTTAGAAGCTAGCCATTTCTGGTGCAAAGGAGGAGTAACAACTGCAGAAGCACTGCCTGAGGAGGCTTAGGCTCTGTGCCACTCATAGTAGCACCAGGAAGCAGTAAAATACACGTCTGCACAGAAGAGACAATTATAGTGCATATATTAAATTATCACGTTTGCACCTTAGGACTTTATTAATTGCTCCCAAAAATCCCATATGGACCACAAGTAAACTTTCATTTGTTTAACAAAATTTAAAGAAATTGCTTGAATACATTTTAATTAGAAGTGACAAAAGGGCTTTAATGGATGATGTAAACGTTTAAAGAAAAAAAAAACAAGAAGTGGTTCCCCACTTGTTAAATTGTGAAGATTTCCTTTGAAGAATATTCTCTGCTTCATAAAATGCATCTTTGTCGTCTTCTTTGAGAAAATGAAAGATGTATAATTTTTAACATGGAGGAAAACTACCTAAGTCAGAGCAATTTTAGGAGGTAAATTTCGCATGTCATCACTTGCACACTGGGTGCTTCGGTAAACTTTTCCTAATTATATTTATTCAGAAATGATCCAACTATGGCGGAGCACTATAGATTTATAAAACACAATAGTAGTGCAAAAAGAAATTTAATTCTACCAACCCAAATGGCTTCCTACTTTCAGATGTAATCTGAGCAGTAGATTCCAGATGATTTGGTATATTTTAAAGTTTATGCCATTAAAAATGACAGTTTCATCTTTAATGAAGTGTATATCAACTTGTCTGTTGCTTTTTAATGGGAAACTTTGCATATCAATGATATTTCATAAACATATTTGTCTTTATTTTTTTAAATTAGCTTTCTAATGCCCTCTCCAAGGAAACAAGTCTTGAGCAGTAAAGCTGCCTATTTGAAACATCCTTGTTTAATATGGTTCAGTGGGCGCCAAGCACATTTTTAGAATGCTTTGATATTCATTGGGCCACGTAGAAGTGAGGGATTAGCCTTCTGAGAACTGCAAATTCATAATTAACTACAGAGAAGTACTTTATGTTGCCCATTTATAACAATTATTCAAATAATTGTATTCATCAGTCTTTATACAATGGATAAAGCCAATTAAAAACAGGAACACTTTCAACCAATCAGATTTCAGAACAAAGGATAGCATAGCATCCCTACTCAGTTACCTCTATAATTTATTGCATTTCTCACTGCTTTCCCTTTAGTTACCCAAATCCTTAGTTGAGGAACATTCTCCCATTTGTAATTGACACCTGCCCTTGAGTATTGGCACCCGAGAGTCATGATGGAAATCCTTCCAGAGCTGATGCTGTGACTACTTCCTTTCACAACACCAACCTATCTATACTATTAATTTGGTTCCTTTATAAAACAACTTATAAAATCCAAGCTTTTACTGACCATTTGTACATGAGTATTTCTGTTAACTTGGGGTGTTTTGTTTTGTTTTGTTTTGCAAGTGTGATCAGTTTGACATTGCTTGTTTCCAGAGCATTTGTTGTGGTTGCTTTTATGCTCTGGTTGCTAGTTCACCAAGCTTACCCCCAAATCATTAATTCAGCAAATTCTTACTGAGCACATGCTTTGTGCTTGGCTGTAAGAGAAGGGAAAACGGAAAAACTAAGATGTTCCCCTCTCTTCAAAGACCTTGCAGTTTAATAGGTCCACAGATATCTTCAAAAATGACAAATCCCATCAGGGAAGTATTAGCAAATGGTGCGAATTAGGGGACCTAGAGCAATCAGACAGGACTCGGAGCAGAACATTGAAGAACAAGTAAAGGCCTCCTTGGTTGTCCAACATTCTGTGGTGTTTAATAGACTTCATTAAAGGATCAGCTGCAAATAAAGCGTGAGGAAATGGAAGCCATCTCCTACCTGAACCTTGCATTGTTTACCTGCTTTCCTCTTCACCTCTTTTAACTCAAATCAGAACTTAGCTGAGCGCCATCACAGCTGACCAACATTGGCGGTGACTGGATGTCAAGCCCCCACTTGATTATCTCCTGACCTAACTGCTTTTTCAGCTTTGAGGGTTTTATTTTTCAGGAATATCTTTGATTTTTTTTTAATTTTCTTTTTAAAAAAAATAATTTTGCAAATCAGATTTTCTGATGAAGGCATAACCTGCAATCTGCAGTTAGCAGATGCTGTACCATTTGAAGCAAGCGATCCAAGAGCATCATAAATTGGTCATGAACTGTATTTGTCAGTATTGGCAAAGGATTTCAATTTACAGTAAAATGTGAACTAAAACTTACAACTATCCATAATATCTAAATATATTTATATTTTAGAGCTAGAGCATTAACAGCTAACAATCGGGCTTTATTTTTCTTTTTTGCATGCTGTTACGAATGAGTGATTTTAAACATTCACCTTCATGTTTCATGTGCTTTGAAAGTGGAGACTGAGGAATCTTTCCGCCTCGATTGTGTATCAACAAAATTAAACAATTGGAGAAATGTACTTACATATTAGTACATTCAAGCTATCCAAAAAAAGAGAGCGATAGCAAGAGATTTGGCTCATGTTTCTAAGAAATTCCTCCTCAGTTCTTAAGTGTTTTGTTTATGTCCCTTGAGGAATGAAGAGAAAAACGATTTGTTTTTACTTGTAAGGCCTTACTCAGTTGCCCAATTCCGCAGAAGAACTGGACAGTGAGGACCTCTCAGGTAAGGGCTAGTCATTAGGTAAGGCACTGCAGTGTCCAACCTGTGGGTGCTCTGTCCACTTCTACAGAATGGCCATTTGGTTTGTTGAGCAATCAATTAGCAATTGTGGATTTTGAGACTAAAGAAAAATAAATTTGTATTAACACTTCCTTCCTCCCCACCCACCTCTCTTCCCTGTGGTAGTGGCATGTATATTTCAAAGTGGGACTGATGCTATTAATGCAGTGAAGTCATCTTTGGGATTGTACCAAAGCTACTGTGTGTTCAGTGGCTTAAAAGAATTTTTAGGCTCTAGATATACAGAGGTGCCAAAAAAGTGTATAAACATTTTAAGCAAGGAAAATTGTGTTAAAATTGTAATACTCAATATATACTGATAACAAAAGATGACAACAAGTCACATTTGACTTCTGCAATTACAAGTCAAAGTGGTTACTATCAGCGTCCAGATACTTCTGATTATGGCAAACTAACTAGTGCTTGAGCAAAGTTGATCAAAGTGTCCACTTGTATACATTTTTTTGGTACCCCCAGTATAATGGTTCAAGAGAAATTTTGTTGCATTACAGTGCAGTTTAAGGATGTTGGATCATGAGACAAGATCTTTATTAAAACAAAAAACAAAAAAAAAAACAAATCATTGACCATTGATTTCTTTGAAGTAAACTAAAAAAAAAAAAAAAAAAACCCCATGTCATAGCAACCTTAGAAGTAGGGGGTGGGGAGCGGTAGGAAGGAAGGGGGGTGCAATTGTTTTGTCACACACCGTGATGTAAACTAATTATCTACCTCAGACCTTTTTCACAGAACACTGAGCTCTTGCAAAAGTAGGTTTCATGCTTGATTCCAGGATTTAGGTGTTACTAATCCAGAATAAGAAGCATATCCTTAAAAGTGGCAGGGGGGTGGGGGGGAGATTTCAGATGGTCAGAGCTAAACAATTATATGAGCTCCCATGATGTTGTAGGACTTCACTGCCAACCAGCTACAGCTTCTTACACATTTTGATCAGTCACTTCTTAATAAGTCAGTAAGGAGGGCCCCCTCCTCATCACTGTGGTTGAGAAACCAAGGCACAGGACTATAGATACTTACTCCAGTCTGTTGGAAAGAAGGGTTCCATATTGCCCCTCCTTGAAGAGATTCCACTGAGGCTCCCTTGAATAGTTGCAGTGTTAACTCAGGTCTCACTACTGTGAGAGAGGAAGATAGCACCACCCAGTCTTGCCAGATGCAGTAGATTTATTGCCTACTATGTGCTTCTGTCAAACCTCAGGGATGCCTTGATATTTCTGTCATGTAGCCTGTCCCAGTATGGGCTTAGCTGTTGGGTTTTCCCATAGAATGGAAGCTCCAGGAGGCCATATTGGTTTTGGTCACTGCTGTATGCCTGTCGCGTAGTAAGCACTCAGCTGGTATTTGGGTGAATAAATGAATTCCAAATCCCAATGAATTTACATAGATAAATAAATAGAAGATTAGAAAGACAGCCAGCCCATCAAGAAAGTGTTTCATTTTTGCCTCTTATTTGTGGTATATTTGGAGACATTGCAAAAACATTAGCCCAATTTTCCTTTTAAATAAGAGTAGATTAGTCTTTCTCCCTGTGCAGAATGTAATGCCAGGCATAAGTAATCTGTGCTTTCAGTTCTCATCCTGACCCTATATAAAACTGCTCTCTGACACAATGGCCCTCACAATCGAATCTTCTCAAGGACCCTAAGAAAGGACAGAGTTCTCATTGGCCCTGATCCCTCTTGGCACATTAGCCAGACAAGGATCACTCAGATATGCAGCTGTAATTTTTCTCCCCTTTAGGAAAGTGGGACGACATCAGCCATCCCCTCCTTGCCCCAGCAGCATCAATCAAGGAATACTCTGGGTCTCAGCTCTGTACCAAGTCAGATGCGGCCTTGCTGCAGTTCTATCAATCACCCATGAGTCAGGAGCAATAAACCAACAACTGTTTGTGTTCATCATAATTCAGTTAAATTAATAATTACGTTACCCCCTCCCCCACTCCCTCCAGGAACTCTGCAGTCACATATTGCTCGGGAACCATAAGTCATGTAGAACACTGATGATCTATCAGGCTGGGGCCGGGCTGGCTTTGCATCTGGTTTGATGAACTAATCAAAAACTGATTAGCACCTTTGTTCAAAGGGGATGCTGATTAATCAATTACTATTGATTGTGAGCTTGACTTCACTCAGCAGCAAAGAGACATCTGAAGGGAAAAAAAACAACCAATAAAAATTGAGCAGCTGTCATAGTGTTTAAATTTATTAAAACAAAATACATTATTTTTTATGAAGCTGTCTTGAAATGGGTCACTAAAGGGGAGCATATTGATTGAGAAAGGATGAACTTCTCAAATTTCTCTAGCCTAGAGACTGAATTCAATTATAATACAAGACAAACAGGTTAACACCCGTCTTAAACAGTCCATCAATAAATTAGAGTAGGTGTTGCACATTTAATGCTAAACTGTGGTAATGAATAATATTACCATTCATTCCTCGCTCCGTTATGAGTGGAAATTTCATCCTTTCCTTACTATGGATAAATGCATTTCCTTCAAAATAATCATCGTCCACCTTCTATTTCCCCCACTTCCCCCACATCGTCCACTTCCCCCGTTCATTCCTGCTACCTCAGATAATGACAGTTTCATAAGCAACATATGGTGTTCCATCCTCACCCAGCAAAGCAAGTTGCCCAGCCGATCCTCCTCTTTAATCTGCATTAAAAAATTATGCTGGTGTGTAGTTCAGTGATTTAATTATTGGCAGACCTGGGGAGCTTATCCAGCTTGACTTTGAACCCTTTCATTTACTTTTTGGATGTTAACTTTATTGATGATGGATCCATAAGAGTTTTGAATTGTTTTATCAATTACATCTGCTGTTTCCTGGTGACAGCTGGTGGTTATTGCCACCCATGTGGAATAGAATAGCTTTAAGCATATTTATCCTTCTATTTTATTTTTAAACTTTTTAAAAATGTCTCCAACTGCCTCAGCAACGGAAGGGCCTCGGGGACTATTTAGTGCAGCACACTGGTAAAATATACCCTGTGCCGGACAGTGGCCCTCCAGCACGATCCAAGCAACCCATCAGTCTCCTGCTTTTTTTTTGGCTGAGCCACCTGTTGGCAGCTCAGCTCGAGCTGGGAATCGAACCAGCGATCCTATTGCTCAGAGCCCACACCCTTGAGAGAGCGCTTAACCAATTGAGCCATTCAGCTGGCCCATCAGTCTCCTGCTTTTGAAGCAAAGGCCCCAACAAGAAATTCCATAACTATCATGCTTCCCCAAAACATGTTTTCAACTCTTGCCCTACAAATGAGAAAGCGATCTGGAAAAGTCCTACAACATCCCTCTCACAATCCCTGCAAAAGCATGGGTGGAGGGCAAATTCTAAATGCCTTCAATAATCCATGCCAAGTGTTAAGGAGGAATCCCGGTGAGCCAACGCTAGTCCCAAATTGGATTACAAAGGAAACGTGAGCTCAAAATATAGCCTAAATTTAGATAAGGTAAGCACTTAGAGGTCTTTGGGTCCAGGTGATCAGTTCCAGGGTGGGATATATGACCCATCTGGTTGTTGCGAGTGTCCTCAGTGTGTGTGAGAAACTGTCAGTAGGCATAACATTTTGAGGGACTCTTAACTAGCCCCCACCTAATGTGTGGCCCAGATTTGGCACATAGGCTATCTCATTTCTTCGGTAGACTAATGATAATGACAGTGATGATGAAACAACAAAAACCAGCTGGGCTGTGTAGACACATTCAAGGTGTGGCCCATAAATGTAAAGTGTGGCATTATTTAACTTGTATTTATATAGTATTTACAGCTTAACAAGCCCTTTCACACATAGTAATGATCTTATTTGACCTTCATCCACTCGACACAATCGTTTGAGCTCCTCCTCTGTGCTGGGCTCTGGGCCGGGCACCAGCATGCAGCAGTGAACAAGGCCAGCCAGGAGCTGGAACTGCCATGGATTTCCCGTGCCAGGCCCCTGGTCTTGGATGGTTACTTTCTAGTGCTGGAGACGGTCTCAAAACACACGATACTGTCAGACAGTGACAAGTGCTATAAACAAAACTGGGTAAAGTGCGAGTGAGTGACTGGGGTTGGGAAGAGGTGGAGGCTAGTTTAGAAAAGCTCACCAGGGAAGGCATTGGGACAGGAAGACCAGTGCATGAGTGTGAGCCAGCCATGGGAAGATTGTCGTGAAAACCCTGTGAGATTGTGAAGGAAGGGTGTTTAGTCTCAGTTTACAAAGGAGGAAACTGGGGCTCCAGAGGTTCGATGACTTACTCAAGAGACAGTCAAGAGTTTGAACATATGGGTCTTCCAGCCTCTATAGGAGATTGAGACTCTGGTTTAAAGTGATTCTTTTCCCTTGTGAAATCCATACTTCCTTTGCTCTGGGGTCTTGGGAATCCTTTTCCTCTTGGACTCTTTTCAATTCAGTCTATGCATCGAGGGAGTAAGGAGGGGAAGGTGAGAGGCTTTCCGGAGCCCATCAGATGTAGAGCCACGTACTAACTTGGATAGATCTCCTGCAGCATTAAATCAAGCTCTTTCTCCTTCAAAGAAAACCTTAAATGCTGCTCAGATGTTTTCAGCGCCATTGTCCCCCTGATTCTTCTAAATTATGGAATTAGTTTCCCACAGAGATGGCTCTGAATGCCATGGGAAAGTGTTGGGTTGCAGAAGGTTTAAACATGTAGATTCTCTTATTTTTAAAATTCCACTTAGCACAAGGCAGTAGACTGACAAATCCTATTGGGTCCATGCCAGCTTGCCCATGACTTTGTCATGATGAGACTTTGAACTTGATCATATTGTTGATCTTCCCGTAATCCAACATGCTACTGTGTCCCTCATGGGGAGGAAGGACACCATCAAATTAAAGTTCCTCCTTTAATTGGGGGGAACTTTTCTCCAAATTAAAAAGTTGGCAGGCTACAAGGCAAAATGTGAATTCCA